CCCCCCCCGCGCTCGCCCCTGGCCAGCTCCACTGCTCCCCCCCGCCTGGCCAGCCCTGCTTCTGCCGGCCGGTTCCCCTCCCTATCTCCCCCGGGCAGCTCCACTGCCCAGACCCTGCTTCCCTGGGGCCCATATCCAACCCCCCCCTCCCCAGCCAGCAATAAGAGCTCACCTGATAACCCTCACTATGCGTCTGCTGGGAGCCTGAAACATACGACTGCATCCGCCCTGCCTGGCTGAGGGCTTGGGGAACCCGGCACTGCACAGGCAATCCGGGAGCCCGGTACACCCTGGCAGCCTCGCTGAGGCCCGGTATTTTTTTCCCATAGTTTTGGAAACACTGCTCTATGCCAATATCTAAATAGTTGATGAAAATATTCAACAGAACCGGTCCCTAAACAGACTTCCCCCTCCCCAGCCAGCAATAAGAGCTCACCTGATAACCCTCACTATGCGTCTGCTGGGAGCCTGAAACATACGACTGCATCCGCCCTGCCTGGCTGAGGGCTTGGGGAACCCGGCACTGCACAGGCAATCCGGGAGCCCGGTACACCCTGGCAGCCTCGCTGAGGCCCGGTATTTTTTTCCCATAGTTTTGGAAACACTGCTCTATGCCAATATCTAAATAGTTGATGAAAATATTCAACAGAACCGGTCCCTAAACAGACTTCTGTGGAACCCCGCTTGTTATGCCCTTCCAGCAAGATTGTGAACCGTTAATAACTACTCTCTGAGAATGGCTGTCTAGCCAGTTATGCACCCATCTTTTAGTAGCCCCATCTAAGTTGTATTTGCCTACTTTATTGATAAGATCATATCAAATGCCTTACTATAGTCTAGGTATACCACATCCACCGCTTCTCCCTTATCCATTAGACTTGTTATCCTATCAAAGAAAGCTATCAGATTGGTTTGACATGATTTGTTTTTTACAAATCCATGCTGGCTGTTACCTATCACCTTATTATCTTCCAGGTGTTTGCAGATGAATTCCTTAATTACCTGCTCCATTATCTTTCCTGGCACAGAAGTTAAATTGACTGGTCTGTAGTTCCCTGGGTTGTTCTTATTTCCCTTTTTATAGATGGGCACTATATTTGCCCTTTTCCAGTCTTCTGGAATCTCTCCCAACTTCCATGATTTTTCAGAGATGATAACTAAAGGCTCAGATACCTCCTCTATCAGCTCCTTGAGTATTCTAGGATTTCAGAGTTGTGGTTATGCATTTTCCGTTCTTGTTGTGTTAATATTTTTGTTGTAAGTTATATCTGATAAGTTATATAAAAAGTTTGCATGATTTTCATTGATGTTTTATTAATAACCTGTGAATCAGGATCACACCAGAGTTGGTGCAGATACCTCTCAGGATATACAACTCTTTGGTATAGGGATCCAACCAGAGCACTGTGAGATTGACATTTCATCAGATGGGGAAGTTTCTCTCACACCAAAAGAAAATGCAAGGTAAGGAAGTTCAGCACACCTGCCCTGTGCAATGTTTTCTTCTCATTACTGAAAGATGTATGCATGTTTATTTTACCGTGTCACAAATATGGTGTGCTCTGGTCAACAGCCAGTTCCAATTCTAGTGATGTCACAGGAAACTTAAGACACTTCCATGCCAAAAAGGAAGTCTCCATGCTGGTTCTGGATAAACTATTATCAAGGGGTCTTGGGAACAAGGATGGAATTGTTTACATAAATTCTGTGGAATAGGCAGGATGGTAGAGCTGTGTAGTTGCTGCTGTTCTAACCTCAGGGCTGGACTAGCTGTCTTATCGGTTGTTTGAATGGATAAATTCTACCTCTGTGAATTTACTTTCTCAGGTTTCATAGAACAGATGAATTTCACCTGAAGGCCCCAATTATAGTAATGTCCAGTAAAATATAAATGTATGAATCCAGGCCCTTTCCTCTCTCATTTCTCTTTTAGAGTTACAGGAACATTCCATTTATATAGGCATTGTTTCTTCTTTGCTAGTATTTGAAGCTATTCAACCTTGTAACATCACTTGAGGCATGTATTATAATTTCACACAAATATGCTTCCTGTGATCTTAATGTGTAATTAATTTCATAGATATAGGCATTACATGGTAAACAGAAGATTGAGAGAGACTCTTATTTTTCCAAACTCTCTTTTCACTTTGGTCTTTGTAAATTACATATTAACACACGGATGGGCAGCCTTTTGAAACCAAAGAACAAAACTACATCAAAATTCAGAAGAAGTGGTCAACAAAAAGCAGTATGAGTGCGCCCATTTTCATGACTGAAAATATACAACTTAATATTATTAATTGACATGATTAATAATAGCATAAAAGAAACCTTGTACTCACAGACTTTATTTAATGGGCCTTCAGCTGGTGCATCTTTTCACACATTTCTTTGAAGTTTACATCATAACTGGTCAAATTCAAGTTCATGCACACATTCAAGCTACATGAATAATTATGGTTTTTTAAAATTTTGAATTAATTTTGAATTTTAATTTAAAAAGTTGTATGTATCTTGGGAATGACAAAAGAGCAATATTTAGTTCCATACTGAGCCATAGGTAGCAGACCCCTGTGTTAGCATGTATGTCTCAGTACTGCAAACTAATCATGTAAATTACAAAATTCCAAATAGATGGTATTCAGACTTACGGTGGCAGAGTTGCAGTATAGGGAGTTAGTCGTTTTGACTTGTAAGGGCAGAGGAGTAAAACATATAACAAAGTTTTGTTTTGTTTGTGACTGATTATAAATGCTTAAATATTTATTTCTGTGATATTTATATTGTCATGAACTTTGTTACGAGAGTTACAATTTAAACAATGAATTATTTCATATTTGATACTCAAAGTATTTGTGATATAAACCTGAATTAATAATGCTGCATTTGAAGGGATAATATTATATTTCCTCTAGGACATTATATTGGCGGGAAATGCTATTTAATATATATTTTTTTCTGCTTTGAGCCAAAGAAATAAGAACCGAACAGTTCCATTTCACTTCTTTATAAATAAAGCTTAAATTCAGAGGACCCTAGATGCAAATGCTGTTTTTGAAAATTTCTCAAAAATAGAAACTTTAGACTGAATAGAAGCCCAATTTATCAAAAGAATGAAATTCAGTGATCAAAGGGATATTTATAAATACATTATATAATAGCTATAGCATGTATTAGCAATATTTGCCATCTGCTAGATAAACCTGTTTCTCGGTGATTTCTTTAGAAATGACAAAATAACTATACATGAGCTTTTTCTAATAGAGTTTGACTGTAACTAGGTTCACAACCTGTTTACAAGGAACAGTCTGTGACCCAGTTTCTGGAATATGCATGCAGCTTTTTTAAAACCACAAACTATGAAATAAAATGGAAGCCCTCTCCCCCTACTGTTTATATTGCAGAGTAGCAACTGCAGCAGTTTTTCAAAGGCAGTGGTAATAGGTCTGTCTTTATTAATCTTTCACATTTACACTTTAATAAGAACTTTGTAAGTGGGGTAAATAGACTAGATAAACATGAAGATATTTTCCATATATCATTTCTGTTCTCACCAAAGTGATCTTATTGTTCTTATAGATCCTGTGTAAATGGCACACTGGTATGCTCTGACACTCAGCTGTGGCATGGAGATAGAATCCTATGGGGAAACAACCACTTCTTTAGGTAATTTTATATTTCTTTGTTTCCTTCCACTCTTGCACCTTGCTTGCTTATCTATTTTCACTGTTTTTAAAATCTTAAGTCTCTTTTAATTTTTTAAATAGAATCAATCTGCCAAAGAGGAAGCGACGAGATTGGTTGAAAGACTTTGAAAAAGAAACCATGTTAGCCGAACATGATCTGGATGTAGCTAGTGAAGCTTCTTCTGAACCAGATTACAACTACGAATTTGCACAAATGGAAGTTATAATGAAAACACTGAATAGTAATGGTAAGAGAATGGTGAAATCAGATGATCCGCAAAGGTTGTTTGGGTCCAGTTTAAAAAAAAAAATCTCAGATACATGAATTTAGGAATTGCTGGAGCAAACCAGTGATCCATCGTCTCTGATGGAGGCCAATATTGGATGCTTTAGAGATAGATGCAAGAAATGCAGCCCTGGATAATTATTGAATAAACGGCCATTAGGCTGAATTTCTTTCTGATTCTATCAGTCCATGGTTAGCTGAAGCACCTGGGTTTTTATTCTTTCCACATTACTATCCTGTTTAATGTAACTGTGAATGATGGTCATTTAAATGTCTAATCCTTTTCTAAATCCTTTATAGGTCAGACCACTATTATGTGTAAAGGTGAAAGGATGCTATAAATTTAACTTTGAAGTGTATTTTATGGCAATTTCATCCTTTCTTTTCCATCAAATACTGTTGATGATGCCATAACATTGTTAACAAGACAGTAGTTAAACCAGAACAGACATTTTGGTAAATTAGACCGCATTCTTAGGTTGTTTTTCACTTCACAGTGTTTTTTGCAATCCTCACTTACTAAAATCTGTTAAAGAATGCCTCTTTGTACTATAGTATTTGTATTTCACATGATAGAACAGTAAGATCTTTCTCTAGGTAATTTGCTTTGACATTTGTAAATATGAGAAACATCCTTATATTTTAGTTAATTTGGCTTGTTTGAATCTGGTCTGACTACTTTTGTCCTAATCTATTGTGTTTTCTATATTTTTGATCAAGGACATTGTAGACTTTAGCTGTTTATAAAACCCCTCTACTCACTAATGCACAACAAATGTTAGCTCACAAAAATGGTTCAAGAGGAGTACTGATCCTTCCAATCTCCCTCCATATGCATGCATTGCGGCTTTACATTAAATAAGTCAGTTAAAAAAAACCTGAAAAATGGTGTAGTTGTGAAAATCCCTGATTTATCATCTCCATGGCTAATGTAACTTGCCACAGGGTTCAGCTGTAAGGCCTGGGCAAATCTGACAGATTGTGTTTCAAAGAAACTGTCAGTTGTTGAACATTTATAACAATGTTTACATTCCTTGTAATGTCTCTGTAGAATCTATATAATTCTCAGCACAGAAATGTCATTTTTATTTATTAAAAGTTAATTCCAGATGTTTTTCTTCACTGCCATTTATTCCTTCACTTAAAAAAAAAATTAAAAAGCAATCTGTAGGTGGAGGGGAAAAAACCCGTTGCTTAAACATTTAAAGATAGTAGATTACATTTTCCATATCTTCAGTATGATCCTTATGAAGTAGAATTTAATTTTGTGGTTGCTTTCTCTTATCTGTATGTTATTGTTATGAATGTGATTTTGTTACTTTGATTTCAGACATAAAGCAAACACTGGGAGTTGGGTGTTTTTTATTTTTGTAAAATTCCTCTGCCACCCAAATTTTTTTTTCTGTCAACACATTCATTTGCCTTTTTCAAATCATGGCAGATAAGCATTGGAATACAGTAAACAAGTCTGCTTTTTATTTTTATGTAGATTTTACTGGTAAAATAAGTGACATGGTCGGGTTACTTGTTTCCTGTTGTGTTTAAAATAGTTTCAGCTTTGGGAGGGGATGTTATAGTATTTATAGGCCATTTTAACAAACTGGAACACTCAGTTAAATTTAATGTGTATCTTTGTTTTGAGGAGGGCTTGTATACATCAGTCTTAAGCATTTTATTGTCATTGTTATAGGGCAGTGTTTCCCAATTTTATTTGGCCGAGGAACCCTTTTCAGCTTTTCAGAATTTCAAGGAACCCCTAGGTTTGTCAAGCAAAAAAAAGGGGGGGGCAGGGGAGGAGAGAGGGACCCACCAATTCATGAAAATCACATTCCTTCCCCAAGACACCCCCCCCCTCCCTTCTGTGAGGCCTCATCCGCTCTGTTCCCCTCCTCTCCATCACTTGCCATCCCCAGCCCTTATACCTGTCTCAACCTAGTGAGAGTGAGGTGCGGGGTGGGAATGAGGGATTTGGGTGTGGGAAGAGGTGAGAAGCAGAAGCTCTGGGAGGGAATTTGGATGCAGGAGAAGGGGCTGTTGACTCAGGGAGGGGGCTATAGGCTGGGGAGTGTTGGGTTCAGGTGGAAGGTTGGGGTGCTGAGCAAGCCAGGGCTTGTGCCTGTGAGGGTGCAGGAGTTTGGGCTGGATATGTGAGGGACTCAGGGCAAGAAGGTTGAGAGTATGATGGGCTCAGGACACACATTTGTGATGTGTGGATGGTGGAGGAATGTTGTGGCAGAAGACTGAGGGTTTGGGGATGTAAGAGGCTCAGGACAGGGGGTTCCAGTGTATGATAGGCTCAGATTTGGGGTCAGGTGGTGCAGGAGTGTTATGATGCTGCAGTGAAATGGGAGTTTGGTCCCAATTGGGGGCTTGTTGGCCTGGCTTCATTTTTAAATAAAATATGTAAAACTCAAAAAGTTTTAGCATTGTCTTTATATGTGAGAGGGGTGAGGAACCTGTTTTGAGTCAAAGGTCACTGACCCCCAGAAAAGTCAGTTGGGGCCACACAAGTGAGATGCAAAAAAACCAAAAAAAAGCTCCTCAAAAAACCCCCAATCCTCACTAATGTGGTCCCAAATGTGCTGGTGGGGGTAGGGGACAGAGCGCTAGTGGGTGCTGGGGAGAGGGTGCTGTGGTCCCAAATGTGCTGGTGGGGGTAGGGGACAGAGTGCTAGTGGGTGCTGGGGAGAGGGTGCTGCTGGGTGGAAGGATGCTGGCTCAGGTGGCAGGG